AATAAGAAGAGCTAACACGGAGGGGCTTCCTACCTGCCAGCCAGTACACTGACCACTGAGTGTGTGCTGTCTCCACCAGCGTTCCATAGAGAGGGCCCCTGTCCCAGCACCACCGGCCCTCGTCCAGCTGGAGCAGTGGCCTCCTTTCTGATCCCTCTACTTATTCTCTTTGCTTCCCCAATCCAGTCCTCACACAGCAGTTAGCAGTTTTCTTTTTAAACGTAATGCAGATCGCATTGCTGTCTTACTAAAAGGTCCATGGCTTGTCATCTCAGACAACCCAACCCTGCGTCTGTTCTCTCTGGCCAGCTCTGGCCTCCATAGCCCTTTTCCCCTCTGACGATGGCACTCCATTCTCTCCCCCGAGTCACAGGGCACCAGGCATGCTGGTCTCCTTTCCTCTCCTCAAGCACATCCTGCCTCAGGGCCTTTGCCTCTGCCTGGAACCCCTTACCCTTATCTTCATTCAGCCTTTTCTGAAGTGTCCCGGTACAAACACCAGCAACTCAGAGGGGTCTCTCCAGGCCACTCTGTCTCCCCAACCTCAGCTTTGAGCACTGTCAGTCACATTACCCCTGCTTGCTTCAAATTTTGTATTATTATTTCTGAGTGCATCTTATTTATATCTCTAACTTTTTAATATAACAGCCTTTGTTCAGGGCTGTTTCCCCTCCTCCTAGAATGGTGCCCGGCCCAGATCTGGAGCTCAATGCATGTCGAATTAATGAATGAACAAATAACCTAATTTAATTGTCACACAAACCCCATGGTCTGTTTCAGTGGTTCTCAATCATGATTGTGCATTTCAATCTCCCCAGGCGCTTAAAAAGAACTTGAACTCAAAACACATTGGATTCAATTTCATTGATCTAGGGTCGGGTGAGTCTGGGCATCTTTTTTTTTTTTTTTTTTTTTAAGCCCCCTTGGTGATCCTAATGTGTAGCCATTTATGCTGAAATTCATACTTAAATTTATAACCTTCTTGGCAGAAGAAAGGCTGCCAGGGCAGGGCCCTTCAGTCAGAATTGCCATTTTCACTCAAGCTCATACCTGCAGGAAGCCTGGTTTTTCTCAGGCCCACTGGGGCCAAGGCAGGGCCCGGGGCAGCACACTCTGTGGCCCTTGAGGAGGGAAGTTCACGCCTGAAGAGCAGGCTCCTGGCTTCCCTTTGTGACCAGAGCAGGACCCGAAGGCAGCTGGGTGTAAATCCAGAGGCAGAAGTGGAGTCCCTTCCTGGACACACCGAGGTCAGAACATCCTCAGCAGCAATGTTCTGAGTTCTGGGGTTCTGGCCCTGGAGAAGAATAGGCCATTGTTGAGTAAGAGGGGGCCTTGCCCTGCCCATGCTGAGTGGGGGGAGGAGGGCTGGAGATCACAAGAAGGGCCAGAAACAAAACACACTATGGGGTCCTGGGCGCGGCATCAAAGGGGCCTACAGATTGGAATTTGGATGCCATCTCTGTCCCTAAGCAGCTGTGTGGTCTCAGGCATGTGACTTATGCTTTCTAAGGCTCAGCTTCCTCACCAGTAAAATGGCATTCAACACCTAGGAGGATTGTTAGACGAGATGATGCATGCAAAGTGAGTAGCATAGTGCCTGTAAGGCAGGAAACCCTGTCCCAGTAATCATTTACACCATGTGCACGTGTATCAAACCAGCACAGCGTACACCTTAAGTATGTACAATTGCACTTGTCAGCCGTCACTCAATAACGCTGGAAAAAATAAAAACATATTTTAAAATATACTGAGGGCTTCCCTAGTGACACAGTGGTTAAGAATCCACCTGCCAATGCAGGGGACACGGGTTCGAGCCCTGGTCCGGGAAGATCCCACATGCCACGGAGCAACTAAGCCCGTGCACCACAACTACTGAGCCTGTGCTCTAGAGCCCGCGAGCCACAGCTACTGGAGCCCGCACGCCTAGAGCCCGTGCTCCACAACAAGAGAAGCCACCGCAATGAGAAGCCCGCTCACCATGAGGAAGAGTAGCCCCCGTTCGCCGCAACTGGAGAAAGCCACGCGAAGACCCCACGCAGCCAAAAATAAATAAATAAAATAAATTTATAAAAAGTAAACGAAAACATACTGACTGTTAGAAAGTGATAAATCCTGGGGAGGAAGGTCAAGCAGAGAATGGCGGGCAGGAAGTGTCAGATGGGAGAGGGTTCCACTTTCGATGAGGCAGTTGGTTGAAGGTCCATGAGCTGAGCCCTGTGGGTGGCAAGGCGGTGAGCCATGTGGATGGAGCGTCCTGGCGGAGGAGCCCGCAAGAGGGCTTGAATCAGTGCTGGCTGGAGCCGGCCTGAAGGGCCACCTGAGAGCCTCTTAATATTCAGAAACTTTGCAGGTCAGTTGTTAAACTTTGATAAGTTGAAACTGGTGGGAATCAAAACTGGCCATGGTGGGAATTTTTAACCGTAGATACTGGCAAACACCACAAGTCACTTGTGCAGTTTTTGTTCTCAGAGAAGCACTTTACCAACAACCCCACCCCAAGCCAGGACTTCAAAGCCACAGGGAGACCACTGTGACTGCAGCCCAGCGAGCCAGGTGAGAGCTGTTTTCCAGACTTTGCCTTTGAGCGACACAAGGAGCCAGAGGAGACTTTGTTCCTTTTAGTAGCTTTATTTAAGTATAATTTACGTACCAAAAATTCACTCATTTCAAGTGTACAATTATTTGTATCCCTATTAATTTCTTTTAGTAAGTTTACAGAGTTGTGCAGCTCTGACCACACTCCAAATTTAGAACATTTCCAACAAAGAGATCCCTGTGCCCATTTGCTCCAGGCAACTGCCAATCTACTTCCTGTCTCTAGAGGGTTTTGCGCAGAAAAGGGACGTGATTTGATTTATATTATTGTCACTGTTGTCTCCTTTCTGCTACAATATAATAAAGTTCCTGTTCTCTTTTTGGATTGGATGATGACCTGAATTTTCAGGGAAAATATCCCCTAGGTCCGGACACCCAGCAGGCGCTGGGGCTGGAGTACTATCTCCCAGGTGGCGGGGCCGTGCCCGCTGGCTCAAGTGTGCTGACCAGCTGAAGCCACATGTCCCCCGCTGGCTTCGGGCTCTGCCTTCTCTTGGCTGCGTTTGGGGCCAAAGTTCCCGAGGGAGACTGAGTCAGCAAATTGCCTTTACCGGCGTTCCCAGGAGCCCGAATATTTACAGGCATTAAGGCCTGCATTCAGCTGAAGCAAAACCTAGAAGTCTTCTCACTTCCTGGGTTCAAGAACAAGGCACTGTGGAGAGAAATCCTTCAGCAGGGGGTGTCAGCTGCCCCTGAGGCCTTTACTGATTAAGCCTAAAGAGGACAGGGCCTGAAATGGCGTTGTGCACTTGGGAAGGAGGCCTGGGATTCTAATCATCTGCTGTCAAGGGGCCCCCAGAATCCAGGAGTGAAAGGCAGAGGAAAGGGCTTGGGGCAGAGTTCAGGAGAGGTGAGGGGTTGGGGAGGGAGGGGAGGGAAAGGAAGTCCTGCCTCACACGCCGACCCCTGTGGCAGGGCTGGTGGGCACAGCAGAAGCTGGGGTCTAGCTTTCTGGGAGGTGAGACCTGGAAGTCACTTTTCCCCTCCAAGCCTCACTTTATCTATAAAATAGAGAATATAACACATCATACAGTTGTTATGGGGCTTTAAGGAAATTTAAAGCACTTTTCAAGAGCTTAATACACAGTAAGCCTTCAGTAGGTGACAGTTATTATTGCTTTTCCTGTTACCATGACACATTATTATTGTTGATTATTGTCTTCGTCTGTTTGGGCTGCTATAACAAAAATACCGTATAGTGGGTGGTTTAAACAACATTTGTTTCTCACAGTTCTAGAGGCTGGGAGGTGCAAGATCAAGGCACCGTGGGCAGATTGGTGTCTGGTGAGGGCGTGCTTCCTGGTTCAGAGCTGTATCCTCAGCAAGAAGAAGCAACAGGGAGCTCTCTGGGGTCTCTTTCATAAGGACTCCGCCCTCATGACCTAATCACCCACCAGCAGTCCAGCCTCCTCACACTATTGCATTGGGGGTTAGGATTTAACATACGAATTTGGGGGGGACACAGACATTTAGTCCATGGCATTTATTACTCCCATATTCTATTATTATTATTACCATGAGGAACTTGGCAGAAAGAAACTGGGGAGACAGTCCCGAGGCCACTGCTTCGCTTCTCAAACTCGAACGTGCTCGACTCACCTGGGGTTCCTGTTAAAATGCAGATTCTAATTCCACAGGTCGAGGGTGGGGTCTAAAGCTCTGCCTTTGTAACCTGCTTCCAGGTGACGCTGAGGTCCTTGGTCCATAGGCCACACTCTGAAGAGCCAGGCACTATAACTTCTCTGTCCAATACAGTAGCCACTAGCCACGTGGAGCTCTTGAGCATTTGAATGGGGCTGGTCTAAACTGCAGTGTGCCTGTAAGTGTAAAACGCACATTAGATTTCAAAGAATTAAGAACAACAACAAAAACTGTAAAATATCTCTCTAATAATTTCTGGTATTGATTACATGTTGAAATTATAGGATATAGCTAGTTAAATAAAATGTATTATAGTGAATTTCACCTGTTTCTTTTTACTTTTTTGAATGAAACTACTAGAGAATTGTGTATTACACGAGTACGTGTGGTTCACATCACATTTCTTTTGGAGAGTGCTGCCCTGGAGTTCTCTTTCGCATTGTCAGGCCAGTTCAGGGTTTGCCAAAGGCTTTTGGAGGGATTCGCTTTGAAGGACTGAGCCTTGGGAAGCAGGCTCTGAGTTCCTGCGCTCGGATCCACAGAGATCCACAGACAGTAGAGGTGGAGGGGCTAGACCTCATGTCCAGGGAGGAGAAATGATCAAAATCACACCATGGAACTCAGACTAAAGCCCAGGACTCTGCTCTACAAGCCGATATGTGCCGTGCTCACCCTAGGGCTGACCACAAGCTTCTCTCCAACCTCAGAGTCTCCCTGAAGTCCAGAATTCATGACGATGCTCTCTCTCCTCTTTGGTGATATGGCTAAGAGGACTGGTCCTCCAGGCTCTGAGAAATGCCTGGGGTATCTGTGTGTCTCATGGGCAGCTGCCGCCTCTACCTGTCCCTCAGAAGATTGTGGCCACCTGGGAAATCATCAGCCTGGGCAGACAGCCAGTGCCTGAGTACTTCAACTTTGCCCATGATGTGCTGGATGTGTGGAGTCAGCTGGAAAGGGTGAAGCTCACTGTGTCCCAGGGTCCATCTTGAGCATCAGATTCTGTCCACGCTTGGGCACCCCAGTGAGACTCAGGGCTACAAGACATGTGGACATTTTGACTTGGGAGTTTCTCAAGTCCTAAAATTTAAACTGTTAGCATTTAACCTTAGAAAAACAATTACGACCAAGTCTTTGAGCCTTAGACACCCTTGCCCAATCCCTAGTGTGTCTCACATTCCTGAGCCCAAATCACACAGGGAGAGAGTTACGCCCCTTTGGATTCCCTTCCGATCATTCTGAGCAAGTGAAGGAGAAAGTTTTGTATGACTCCTAGTCTGTTTTTAGTATCTTCCTCACGTCGTGCACATCCCTTTTAAATAAGGAGAGAGCTTGGCTAAGGCTCAAAGCTTTTCACAGATCACAGCAGATACATAGAATTGAATTCAGATGATCTCTATTTCTTTGGGTATCTCTGTGCATTTGCTTCCTTCTTCATTTTCCCTTCCTTATGTGTCTGTTGTGCCTCTCTCTGAATTCTATGTTAAAGGTACTTTTTATTCGTAGTAGGAGAATATAAAATTTATCTCAAAGAAATTTATTTATGTTAATTTTAAGAAGAGCTTGTTTTTAAAAAAAGATGAGACAAGTACTACTGTGAGTAGATGTAATAACAGTCTACTGTTAGTGGATATGGTAAAATTTATGGAGGTGGTGTGAGAATGACTGAGATGTAAAAGCAAGCTTTGCTGTCAAATAGATGTGGTTCATACGCTTGAAGTGTGACCTTGAGCAAATCCCTAGGCTCCTTGGATCTCAGTTTTCTAACTACAAAAAGGGACTCATATGCCACTTGAAGCTGTGTGAATTAAATGAGAAATAAGAGATGGAGTCAGGGTGCTCCTTTCCTGTCTACAGGGTGTAAGCAGAGTGAGCTTACACTAGGCTCATCCTTAGAAGACTTCTCCTAATGAAACAAATCAAACAAATAGGGTTAAGTCAGAAAAAAGGATGGAATAAGGACTTTCTAAAATTTTTTTTCTCCAAAAATAGCAGCAATAAAAACCTTAGAAAAGTGGTCATAATCAACTTTTCAGAACTCTAGAAACTAGCCAAAGTCTAGAGTAATCCAGGAAATATTTATTAAAGAAAAACTTGTTACGATTTTGGTGTATCTCAGTGAGCACACCCCTGAGATATTACCTCATTATGTAAAAATAACATATCCTCCATGACTATTCTGACAGAAGTTTAAAACACATCTGATGTTTAACTTTCAGGAACAAAGAACTGACAGAAAATAATAGCCTCTACATTATGCATGCATTTAAAAGCTTACCTGAAGTCTGCCTTTTATAAAGGAATAGTATGAATAAGCAGAACTGCACTTTTAAAAACTTATTTGCCATTAAGGCAGAAATTATAAAGTTGCAAAAAAATGACGATACATCCCAAAGTGATCTACATGCTCATTGTAAGCTTTACAAAAATTCCAGTAGACTTCTTTGCAGAATAGACAGTCTTGTCCATAGCGTCATGTGGAAATGCAAGGGACCCATAATAACCAAAACAATCTTGAAAAAGGAACACAAAACTGGTGTATACACACTTCCTCATTTCAAAGCCTACTACGAAGTTACAGTAATCAAGACTGTGTGGGAAAAAAAAAAAAAAGGCAATGTGGTACTGGCATAAAGATTGGCATGGATGAATGGGATAGACTTAAGGATCCAGAAATATACCCATAAATCTATGGTCAATCAGTTTTCAACAAAGGTACCAAGAAAATTCAATGGGGAAAGAATTGTCCTTCCAATTAATGGTGCTGGCACAACTGGATATTCACATGCAAAAAATGAATGTGGTCCCTACCTCACACTGCATACAAGAATTAACTCAGAAATGGATCAGTGACCTAAATGAAGGAGCAAAAACTATAAAATTCTTAGAAGAAAATATAAGTGCATAATCTGAATTAGGTAATGGTTTCTAAAACATAAGCAATGAAAGAAAATAAATAAATCAAACTTCATGAAAATTTCTAGTATTTGTAGATCAAAGTGAAAAGATAGCCCACAGAATGGGAGAAAATATTTGCAAATCACATATCTGATATACATATATAAATCATATATATGTACACACCTATATACATGTTGTACATGTTTGCAATATATAAAGAATTCAAACTCAACAATAAAAAGATAAATAACCCAATTAAAATATTGGCTAAGGATTCAAATAGGTACTTCTCTAAAGAATATAAACAAATGGCCAATATACACATGGCAAAATGCTCGACATCTTTATTCATTAGGGGAATAAAATCCCAACCACAATGAGACACCACTTCACACAGAGTGACACAGTTAAAAACAAAAACAAAACAGAAACAAAAATGTGTTAAATAAAAGAAATAAACAAAATAAAACAAACGAACAAAAACAAACAAAAAGTGTTTGCTAGGGCTTCCCTGGTGGCACAGTGGTTGAGGGTCTGCCTGCCTATGCAGGGGACACGGGTTTGTGCCCCGGTCTGGGAAGATCCCACGTGCCGCAGAGGGCCATGGCCGCTGAGCCTGCGCGTCCAGAGCCTGTGCTCCACAACAGCAGAGGCCACAACAGTGAGAGGCCCGCATACCGACAAAAAAAAAAAAAGCGTTTGCTAAGAAAGGTTAGCAAAGATGTAGAGAAATTAGAACCCTCATACACTGCTGGTGGGAATGTAAAATGGCACAGATGCTGTGGAAAACAGTTTGGCAATTCCTCAAAAAGTTAAACATAGAGTTAGCGTATGACCTAGCATTATGCTCCTAGGTGTATATCCAAGAGAATAGAAAACATATGCGCACACAAACACTTATACACAAATGTTTATAGCAACATTATGGAAGTGGAAGCAACCCTAATGTCCATCAGCTGATGAATGGACAAACAAAGTGTGATCTACCCATACAGTGGAATATTACTCAGCCATCAAGAAGAATGTAACACTGACACATGCTGCAACATGGATAAACCTGGAAACATTAGGCTAAGTGAAAGAAACCAGACACAGAAGGCCACATATTGTATAAGTCCATTCATGTCAAATATCCAGAATAGGCAAATCCATACAGAAAGTAGACTCGTGGTCGCCAGGGCCGTGGTAAGGAGAGAATAGGGTGTGACTACTGATCTGTGAGATATTTCCTTTTAGGATAATGAAAATGTTCTGGAGTTAGATGGTAGTGATGGTTACATAACTTTGTGAATATACCAGAAACCCTTGAACTATGTGCTTTAAGATGGTGAATTTTATGTTAGGAGAATTATATCTTAATTTAAAAAAGGGGAGGACACAACAGTATGAATTTTAGTCTATCTTTTGCATTAAAAAGATGGTATGGAGAAAAGAATATACTTGACATTTGCCTAAAGAAACACTGGAAGGATTTGCAAGAAACTAATAATATTGGTTACTCATTGAGACAGGTGAAGTGCGGAGCAGGTGGATGGGCACAATGGCGGAAGAAGACTTCTCAAAGCATATCTTTTCATATTTTGATTTTTGAACCCTGTGAATTTAATAACTGTTGTAAAAATAAAATTAAATTTGAAAAACAACAGCAAGCAAACAAAATTCCTCACCAATGGTTTCTATTTCTTTTTTGCCAATACCACTGCCTAGGCTGGGCACCGGCCCCCAATCCCTGCCTTCTGGTGGGTCAATAGCATGGGAGCAGAGGTCAAGGGGAGCTTTGAGGAGTTGGGGGGGCAGTCCAGGAAGGCAGCTAACGTGCTGGGGGGCACGTGTGGCCTGCAGCCTGGAGACAGAATGCTGCTGCTGCTTCCTCAGCTCCCGGAGCGGGGGCTGGTCAGTGTGGCTTGTATGCGGACAGGTCAGTGAGCAGGGCTGAGACTCCCAGTTGGGACTGACACAACCTGCCCGAGCTTTGGCAGCACCCACGAGGTTTGGGAGATGGAGGAAATTGAACCCCATGTGGCGTTTTGTTTACTTCCCCTTTGCCCAACAGTCACAAACTTGATTGTGTACAGGGGCCAGGTAGCACTGTAATTGATTAAAACAGGCCGGTGTGAGGCAGCAGGGGGTGCTGAGGACTGCGCTGAACTGGAGCTCACATGCCTCATCCAGCAGGGACCACCACTCCTCCAAACTCCAAACGCATGTTTCCATGTGTGAATGAGGGCCAGTGTTTCCAGAACTTCTGATTTTTGTAATTAAAAAAACTTGAATTTTTATGGAAAGAAACCTTCTGGTCTTTTTAATGTTGACAAATAAATAGATCTTTTAGGGCTTCCCTGGTGGCGCAGTGGTTGAGAGTCCGCCTGCCGATGCAGGGGACACGGGTTCGTGCCCCAGTCCGGGAAGATCCCACATGCCGCAGAGCAGCTGGGCCTGTGAGCCATGGCCGCTGAGCCTGCGCGTCCGGAGCCTGTGCTCCTCAACGGGAGAAGCCACAACAGTGAGAGGCCCGCGTACCGCAAAAAAAACAAAAACAAAAACAAAAAAAACCTCTGCTGACATGGTTCTCAGTCCTGGATGCTCATTAGTAGCACCTTGGAAGCTTCAACCATTCCTGATACTCAAGCTCCACATCAGTGAGAGCCAACTTTCTGAGAATGTGCGTCAGCTCCCAAGGTGATTCAAACGTGCAGCCGAGCTTTATAGAAACTCCATCTGCTGTATATACTAAGCCATCAATCAGCAACAATATTGGAAGGAGCAGATAAAAATCAGTCCATTTGTTTTTGAAATGCTGTATATGTATTTTGTGGCTTTTCTGTGATTACAACAGAAATCTTTCATGGTATTTTATTGAAAGTCATAGAAATCTACCTACAAAACAATGACAATAACAACATAGTAATTCCATCAAGCAGAGATAATGTGAAAATTTAAATGTATTTTCTTCTAATCACTTTTGTAGGTGAAAGTAAATCCTTGACTTTCCTGAAGAATTTATTCCTTATTCACTGAGTGCCTACTTCATGCCACTAAGTATACAGCACTGGACAGGAAAGATAAGACCCTTGTCCTCATAGAGCTTAAATACAGGACCTCTCTCGTCTGTGATCATTCCATTGAGAGAGTCAAGTTGTAAAGTTATTTGCTAAAAATAACCTTTGTTTTCTTCAACTTTTTCTTTTCATCACTAGCACCAGCTCTTAGTTTTCTTTCTGGGTCATTTTTAACTAAGAAAAAAATATTAAATCTCCTCATGAGAATCATGGAACATTGAAAATTAATAGAGATTGTCAGGCCACAGTTGCCCTGTGAATGCTGAGTGGTCAGTAGGACTGACCAGGTAAGCTCATTCCCCCCTCATTAGCATATACATTCCATATAGCTGAGATTGCACACATCAATTAATGTGCCTATTTCAACTTTATACCCAGGATAAGGAATCTACTTATTTTCCTATGGAAACAAACTGTCAAATGCACAGATGTTCATTACAGTGTTGTTTATAACAGATGAAAAAGGTGGAGGTACTCTCTGAATTTCTAACAGTGGGAAATTAGTTATATAAATGATATTATAGCATTGTATATTTAAAAAAAAGAGAGAAAGAGAGAAAAAGAAGAAAAGGAAAGGGAAAGGACTAAAAAGAAAAAGGATCCAAATTTCTAATAACATGAAAGTGTTTAAATAAATAATATTATAGCCACACAGGGTAATATTACGCAAATATTTTATATTTCATTACACTTTTTTATTCTTGTGAGGAGATGTTCATGATTGTTCATGATTGTTAACTGAAGTAAAATTGGATTGTAGAAATACATGTATAGAATATTTTGTATTCACACAAATGTGTATATGCATAAAATCACAGATAAGCCATGAAAAGGTCCCATACACAGATTAAATTTTTAGCCTTGATTATCTGAGTAGTGAGGCTGATCTTTTGTCATCCTTCATCTTTATTTTCTATTTATTCTATAAGAGATATATAATTGTATAATACAGAAATGATACATTTTTTAAATGAAATCTATGCAAGCAAAGGGTCCTCAGGTATAGTTTCATACATAATTGGCACCATACCACAACTTTGTACTATGCACTTTTTAACATTAAGTTATGTCACGGGTCTTTTCTGTGGCACTAAGTATTTTGGGAAAAATTCATTTTCTACGGCTGCTTAGAGCTCCCCCAATTTGGGGGTGAATATGGTTATTAAGCTTCGTGTAGCACATTCCCTTCTGAGGGCCTTGGCTCTGCTGGGGGCACTTTGAATACATCTCCCAGTGCCCAGCCTGACAACAAGCGTCATCACCCTGAGAAAGTTAGAGCCTTATCCACAAAAACATTATCATAAGTCTCAATATCTAGTAGAGCAAGTCTCTCCTTCTTACTCAACTTCTTTAGAAACGTTTTACCTATTCTTGGTCCTCTGTTCTTTCATATACACTTTAGAATCAACTTGTCAAGTTCTGTGGATCTGTTAGCATTTTAGTTGGAGATGCAGTGTTTATAGATCAATTTGGGGAGAATTAACATCGTTATGATATTAAGTGTATCTTTTCACTTATGTATATCTTCTTTAATGTTCTGTAGAGTTTTACATTCTCTATGTATGCTTCTTACAGATTTTGTGCTAGATTTATTTTTAGGTATTGACAGCATAGTTTTTTTCTTTATTTTTCAGAATGCGTTTTTAAAATTAAAGTATAATTTACATGCAATGAAATGCCCTTATGTTAAATATACGGGTCAATGACTTTTGACAAATGTATATATACCTGTGTAACCATCACCACATCAAGTTATAGAACATCTTTTATCACCCCAAAAAGTTCCCTTGTGCCCCTTTGCAGTCAATCCCTAGGGCTCAGGCAATTGCTAAATTGTTTGTTGTCACTGAAGATTAATTTTGCCTTTTGTTAAAAAAAGAACTTCATGTAAATGGAATCAAAGTATTCATTGGTTTGTGTCTGCTTTCTTTTACTCAGTGTAACATTCTTGAGATTCACGGGTGTTGCTGCCTGTGCCAGTAATTTCTTTCTTTTTCTTACTGAGCAGTAGCTTTACTCAAAGCTTTGAGAATCAGAGTTTGGTGTCATAGCTCTTTCCCCTACCCTTGCTCTTGGCCAGGCACTCCCTTTCTATCTTCAGTGATTGCTGTGCACAAAGAGTATCAGTGTGCTCTTTTATCCTAAGAAACAGAGCCAATAGCCATGTGCCCACCCACCTGCATGCAAGTATGCTGCCTAGACCCTTCTACGGATGGCAGTGGGCGGCTATCCTTAATCATTTCCTGGCAGCTTCCTTCCAGTTAAAAGAGGGAAAACCCATATATACACTACCAAACGTAAAATAGATAGCTAGTGGGAAGCAGCCGTGTAGCACAGGGAGATCAGCTCGGTGCTTTGTGACCACCTAGAGGGGTGGGATAGGGAGGGGGGGAGGGAGGGAGACGCAAGAGGGAAGAGATACGGGAACATATGTATATGTATAACTGATTCACTCTGTTATAAAGCAGAAACTAACAACAACAACAACAAAAACTACATCTGTGATGTGAACCTGAAAAAAAAAAAAAAGAGGGAAAACCCACAGATTCATGGCTCCCTGTCCAGTGGCGACTTCTAGCCACTGGACTTCCTGTTGAGGGGTCCCCAGCCTTCGGCATGGGGCTGCTCAGGCCGTGTGTCCTGAATGACTGTGCCCAGATGGCCCTTCATGGGCTCACTGTGAATTTCAGGACAATTCTGAGAAGACAGCAGCATCAGAACGAGGGGACTTTTACATCACAGGGGACTGAGCCCACATAGACAAGGATGGCTACTTTTGGTTCATGGGAAGAAATAATGATGTGATCAATTCCTTAAGGTCAAATTGTCTGCTCTTTCCTTCTCCCTTTGAAGCTTCATGGGAGAGGAGAGGACACTTGGAAGAGTTTGTTTTTCTCTTGCAGCTACCGGCTTGGGCCCGTTGAAGTGGAGAGTGCACTTGCTGAGCACCCAGCCATCCTGGAGTCTGCTGTGGTCAGCAAGCAGCCTGGACCCCCTCAGAGGGGAGGTAACTAGTGCAATCAAGAGCATTACTTCCTGGTTCTTTGCCTATTAGCACCAAGCAGAGTAAGCTGGAAGGCCCAGATTCCCCCATATCTCACCCCATCCAGGTACCACTAAGTCTGAAATGCCACCATCAGACAGACACACATTCCTTTTGGTTAAGCATTGCCCTCACATCTTTAGAGATACAAATATGCTCTAGAGGGACACCATGGGAAGATATCAACACTTTGGTGTCAAGTGGACATGGTACTGTGTCCAAAAGGGGCTATTAGGTGGGAGATGTTAGTGGCAGGTGCTGGCTTTGTCATCCACCCTGTCCAATAAAATGTCCTTTTCCATTTGCAGATAAAGATATAGTGAGCACACCAAACATAGTTGCTGATGGCTCTAACCTGGGAGGGATAACTAACTTGAGGGATGACAAAATAAGTATCTAAAGTGACCCTGATATGTCAGAAACAAGGACCACATTTAATAAGATGGCTTTTCTCAGGAGAAATGCAAATTCCTTCCCGTGGGTCCTAGAAGAACAGACAGTATGTGAGAAATAAGCTCATAGGCAGACCTACGAACTTTTCACTGGCTGTAAATCCAACATAACCCTAAAGTATAACATAGTTACCCTGTGAAAGTTAGTGCAAGATCAAGCTGCATTTTTCAGAAGCCTCAGGGCAGGGGAGTGATTTGCAAAGTCTGGGCCCTGGACTGCCCACAGCTGCGTCTTCTGGGATTTTTGTTTAAAATGTAGATTTCTAGACCTAAAGTGAGACTTGCTGAATCAAAGGGACTGGGAATGCAGCCTTAAGGAATCTTCATTTTGACCAGAAGCCCCTAGCCAAGTGATTCCGAC